CCTCCTCGTCCCCAACCAGTGAGCTCAGATTTTCTGCTGCTTCCTGTTAAAAGGAAGTGTTCACTTGCCACTGTTGCCGATCGCTTGCTTATGGGTGTCATGTGATTGCTGGGGATTTCTTTCCAACAATTTAGGGTCTTTATCTACCGCTGTGATGCCACTGTTATTGTGAAATAACAGATACGGTTAAAAGAAAAACAAATTGAATTGAATTGAACCATTCCCACTAAAGCTGGTTAGCTGGTGTCTATGGACGGAGAGAACCAGCACACTGTTGTTAAGGCTGATTTCTTCTTTTGTAAGTTTTCTTCTAATGCTGCAATATTTTAAATACAAATTTGTAAACTGGTGAGTCAAAGTGACGCATGAATACTGGAGTATATCTTTAGAAATAACCACGGATAAAATCTTTTTAGTATGACTTTTGCTAAACCAAAAAATATTAAAACATTATGTATTAGAATCAAAATGTAATTACTTTAAATTACTTATTATGTAACTATTAAGCTGCTTTTTGGTTCATCGCAAAGTTAGCTCAATATACATTATTTACCAACACATTGTCTTTGGATATAGAAAAATATCATCTTCTATGACATTAGTCATTCTTCACAAAAACAAGTAAAATATCTGCATAATTATTAAGACCAAAACAATCTGTTTTAATCCTGGAATCCACCATAAATAGCTCTGATGTATTTCTGTAAACTATTTATCTCTTTTATTCAGTTGCTTGTCAGCAGTACAGCAGATATGGAGCGCATACTGCATGTTGAGAGCGCTTCTTTAAAAAGGTCGAGACAGAAGAAGATCTTCCAATCAGACTGAGTTCTGTATGTTCTGTAACCAGTGTGTGTTTCTGTGTTCCACCTGTTTGACAGCACGGACAGAGGAGATGTGGTCCGCTTGGGCACACCACCTATCGTAGCAGTTGTACTCGCCCCTGTCTGACATGTCCCATAGGTACTGACGTCCCCGGAAGTTTTCATGCTCATAACCCACCCATCTTTAAATGAGAAGAGAGAGAGTCGAAAATCAATGTGGCAAAGGCAAAAACAACAACAAAGCTAAAATAAAAATATGTTTGAAATGTTGTTTTAGATTCAAATAGGCTCTAAACAGTGATTAAACATCATTTTGATTTCATTTCGCTTTTAGTGTCTGTTTATTGAAGGCTGCAGATATACAGTGGTGTGAAAAAGTGGGCTAAATGGGCTTTTTTGCTGCCTCAGGAACGGGAAGAATTGCTGTGGTAATGTGGAACCATGAATCCTGCTATCACAACATCCTGAGAGGGAATGTCTGGCCATCTGTCTGGACCTCAAGCTGAAGCGCA